CAAAAAAAAAAAAAAAAAAAAAAAAAAAAAAGCTGCATTTCCAATTGAGTGATACTATCTGAAGAGTTAATTCTTACCTTAAGAAATAAAAATCTCTATACTCTAACCCTTATGCCTGAAAGGCCAACGATTAGCTTGTGTAAAGGGCAAATACTGCCAGACGGCATCAGCTTTGAGAAAGAAGAGCCTGGTATTAGGTGTGCATTTCAAAGGTTTTAGGAAGTCATAAAATCTAACCCTTACACTGAAGATGTCTTCCCTCAAAGCCCCAGGACAGAGTGCGCCCCTTCTGGTTATACATCAACCTTCCATCAAGCTTATAACAATCATAATTACATGGTTATGTATGAGATTGTTTTATGTTTACACACTCTCCAAGAGCAAGCTCTATGCCTAGCACAGTTCCTAGCACACAGATGGCGAATGAATGAATGAAAAGTTTCCACTCACCTTATCTCGTTCCAGCCATATATCAATTCTCTCAATGCCCCAGCGGCCGGGATGACAATCTACATTTTAGAGACGACGAGGATACCGAAGTTCAGAGAGGCTGCATCACTGTCAAGGCCATCCAGCACGTGGTGGGGCAGGCACTTCCGTCGAGACCTCCTGACACCACATCCGGTGTTCCTTTCCTCCACACTCCTCTGCCCTTTGACTCATCAGCCTCACCCTCCAGTTGATCCAGATGGCAACATTTTAGAGAAGCTCTCCTCCCTGGGGCCTTCCATCTGGGCGTGTCATTTGTTGGCCTGGTACCATCTTTTGAACGCTGAAGGTCCACTTTCTACCTTAATCCATTGAGTAATGAGCTATTTATTAGCTGACAACAGCCTCACCTGCTGATGGCAAGGCAAATCCAAACATGTTCAGTTACACAGGCCTCAGGAAGCCTCTGGCAGGGAGGGTTCCCAGAGTTGGGGTCTTAAGCGGGTGAGGTCTGTGCTGCTTGCTGGGGAGTGGGACGGGGAGGCTTGGTATTCAGCTTCAATGTTTTAGAAGTTTGGTCATTCCATTCATTTCTGTGGGATTTTTTCCCCCCTCTGACACCCTAGGATCAAAAAAAAAAAATCACTCTTGTAGGTCAATTATACTTCAAACAGACAAACTCACAGAAAAAGAGATCAGATTTCTGGTTATCAGAGGTGGGGGCAGTGGGGGAATTGGATGCAGGCGGTCAAAAGGTACAAACTTCCAGTTATAAGACAAATAAATACTAGGGATGTAACGTACAACGTGATAAATACGATTAACACCGCTGGAAGTTATACAGGAAAGTTGCTGTAGCAAATCTTAAGAGTTCTCATCACAAGGGAAAACCAATTTCTTCTTTTTCTTTTATTTTGTATGTATACCAGATAATGGGTGTTCACTGAACTTACTGTGGAAATCATTTCATGAGGGGTGTAAGTCAAATCATTATGCTGTACACCTTAAACTTATACAGTGCTATGTTATCAATCATCAATCATATCTCAATAAAACTAGAAGAAAACAACTTAAGCACTTAGGACAATTGGGTCTCCATTTACATTCTCAATTCTCTTTTAATTGCTATCCATTCTTTACTAATTAACCGGGTCTTTGATCTAGTTATGCAGTAAACAACCCAACCCTCTCCTTTCTCTCCATCAAACCCAGTTCACAAAATTCTATTAAATCCATCCCTTTTTAGACTTCTCTGTCTCTGGGGAATCGTTGGGGAACGCTTAGAGGTTCATGCTCGAGGAGAAATTGGACTTACTGTTTAGCCAGACAGAACAGAGTGGGAGTAACAGAATGTGTGCCCAGCCCAGTTTCCCTTGAACCAGTGGTGAAATGTGGGGTGAGTGATTTCACCCCCATGGTGTGCATTTCTGAACCTGCAGTAGCTCCTCCCCAACCGCTGTGTTCCTCTAGTACATTTCATCTAAAGACCTTGATGACAAATCAGAGACGTGAATGTTTCAAGAACCACAGTGAAATGCTCACTCACCACCCGGAGGTGTGGCTCTTGATCAAGAGTTACAGGCAGAAAAGGTCCTCCTTAAGTCTACCATCCTCTGAAAGCGCTTGTAACAAGATTGTCTTTGTAACTACTTCCTTAAAAAGACTTCAAAGCCCTTTATTAACCCAAACGATAGCTGAGAGGATAGGGACAGCACAGTAGCACCCCTTGAAATGTGGGTGGCATGTGCTTCCTGGAGACTTTCAGCAGACAAGCTGCTCTATCCCTCCGAAACTACCACGGACAAGCAGCTTCTCTGGTCACTGAGGCCAGCCTGAGAGTCCACTTAGGCTGAGGATCAGCAGAGACCAGAGAGGTGTGGGCTGGTCAGGCCGCTGTGGTCAAGAGAAGAAGGCAGGCTGGTCCAGGTAACAAAACCAAAGGTCATATACCAGGGCTGGGGGTGGGCACCCTTCAGCAGACCATGTGATCTGAGCCATATCTGTAGGCAGCAGGGAGCCAAGAGAATAGGCAGGGTCACAGAGCAGGAAGGAGACAGAGCCCAGCATGGGGAGCAGGGCAGACACGTTCAGAGGACCCAGGGAAGCCAGAAGCACAAATGACAAGGGTAGTGGTGGGAACAGCGTGCGGCATAACAGCAGCAGGAAGGTTTAGTGAGCATTGGGGGCAGCAAGTTAGTAAGACCTTTGACTTAACAACTGAACATGGACTAAATACGAAGAGGGTCAGAACCGCAAGTATATGGCTAGATGTATGCATATATTTAAAAGAACACAGACACGTGAGGAAAGTGGGCAGAAACGAGCAACAGGTGATGACAATCTGCACTGAAAACAGAACTCAGACACCGATCTAAGCCAAGATGCAAAACACCTGGTACAGAGCCTTACACTGAGTAGGTCCTCAGTAAATAACGTTAAGTCCCTTTCTTTCACCGCTACCCCAGAGAAGGGACGCCCCCCTCCCAGCTTCCTAAAGAACTATTGATATTATGAACTAGTATGAGCCTTGCCTACTTACCTGTTATGAGAGCAAAGTCTAATTGCTTAGTAAAGCTGTTTAGTCTATTTATCTGTATATCTGCTTCTATTTCACACTGTATCCCCACTGTGCTATTTACCTGTTAATTTCTTGGCGTCTAAATTTCAAAGGTAAGACCTTATCAGGACCCACTGTACCGTCCACAGAAATTCGTAATTTGAATGCAGCCCTCGCCAAACCCCACCTGTGTCGTCCAGTCCCTAAAGTGTGCGCAGTCCAGGCAGGCACACGATTGGGGCCCAGAGGAGGCTCCTGCCCAGACGGCATTGTACTAAGGGGGCTTCTCAGTAAGGGCAATGACAGACCAAGGGCGTGGCCACTGAAGCGAGTCCCTAGACGCACCCCCTCCCGACCGGGCCAAGGCAGGCGGATCTCCCCCACGCCTGCCCGCGGCTCCCACGGAGAAGTGGGTTCCCAGGTCAGCCCCGGCTCCGGGGAGCGCCCGAGCCGCTGTCCCGCGGAGAGCTGCTGAAGTCAGGGTTACAACTCACCTTGGAACTGGGGCGCCAGACCTCCCGTAGGCAGGGCGTTCTCCCGCCACCCTCCACCCGGTGACATCATGTGTTTAGTACTGAGTCTCTCCATAAAAGCAGCCCGCGGGGAGCCGGGAGCCCAAAGAACTGACGTGCTCGCCCTTGGCGCCCCGGCTGCACGCACGAGCTCCCGGTGCGCGCCCCGCCGGCCCCAGCGAGAGAGAAGCCCAGCTGCCGGCAGCCCGCGCCCGCGCCCGCCTCCTGTCCGGAGCAGCCGCCAGAAGATGCCCCTCCGCAGCCTGCACGCGGCTGCCGTCCTCCTACTCGTGGTCTTAAAGGAACAGCCTTCTAACCCAACCCCACACAACGGTAAAGTTTCTTCTTTCCTAACAATCCCGAGCGATCAGCCACACCTGGGCAGAAGGATTTCCACGGGGCTCGTTAATGATACAAATCATCTGGGGGGAGCGGGGAAGGACCTGCATGGTCTCAAAATAGCACATTTTTACAAAGGATGCTTCGTTTTCCTGTGGAATGCAGGATCGGCTCCGGTTGCCAGGGCGCACGTCGTCTTCGCATTAAAATATGTTTGTGTGTTCTCGGAGCACTCCCGCTCTGGAGAGGTGGTTTGGGAATTTGCTAACCGGGGAGGAGAAACAGAACCGGGATTTCAAATATTGTGCCTCGATCCACGTGCACATGGTGGAGTGACCGGGGTGTTCTGGGCAGCCTCTTTACCAGGGAGGGTTTGCTCAGTGGTGGGTGCTTTTCTTTGGATGAGAGGCTCTTTACCACTGTTTCACCTCCAAGTCAAAGGAATGATGCCTCCCATCCTTAATCATTATTTTTCTCCAGAAGGGCTCTACTTCTGGTACGCGTGTGTGTGTGCGTGCCCTCAGACGAGCACACACAGCTTATTTCTGAGTGTAATTAGGGCTTTGAACCCTGAAGGGCTGGAGGCTGGTGGTGCCCAGCCAGTAGCAGAAGGAGATGGAGGGGCCTCATCGGTAGGCTTAGGTCTGGGCAGTGAGTTGCAGAGAGCAGCCAAGGTCAGGGCTTTTGCCTGCCTCTCCACAGCTGGGTGAGCGCTTTTCTGGGGGAGTAGAGGGTGACTTATGGAAACTTCCCGAGTAACGGATGGTGGCTCCTGCCCTTGACAGTTTGTCCCAAGTTGTACGGACATCTGTAGCTGTGACCATTCGTGGACCCAGGCTTGGTTGAAACACTTACAGAAGGGCCCAAAGTGACTAGAATGGCGGACGATCCACCCTCCCTGGCTGGGTGGTGGCAGTGGGAAATTGGTCCCGCTCAGCGGCATGGAAGCTGGAGCCCCCTCCCCTCAGAGGTCACGGTGCCCATGGGTCAGGGCAAGGGGAGGCGGGGGGGGGGGGGGGGGGGGGGGGGGGGGAGCCTGGCTGTCAGCAGCTTTGCCATTCTTCTTAATTCAGTTCGAGTCCACCAGCTGGCATGAAAGGCTGGGTAGTATCTTCCTCATCTGGTGGGGCAGAAGGTGGGTGGAAGAAAGTAGTTACAGAAAAGTGGAAATTAATTTATAAAACTGCAAACTTTGACACAGATTCCCCTCTGAAGAAAGCTGCCCTGAGACCCAAAGTTTGATTGACTTGAAAGAGCTCCAAGCTGCTCCAGGATGAGAGAGAAGCCCTTTACCGGCCCTCTTTCCTGAAAGCCTGTTACTCCCCTCACGCTGGGGGCAGCTCATCCTCCCCCCTCTGCTTCTCTGACCTCCCATACCCTCCTCTCCGCCGCGCTCTTCTCCCTTCCCCCTTCTCCCAGTCGGGCTGGGGAAAGTTTTCAGTAAAAAATTTACTTTCACCCCACACTGAGGAGGCAGCCTGCTTACCCCTTGATTCTAAGAACACAGCTTTTAAAATTCTGTTATGCCTCAGGCAGGTTTCTTGGCTTTTTAATTGTCTCCAGGGACAAGGTCAAAGCAAAACTCGCTGAGGTGTAAAGTGTCAGTATTAAACCCAAGGTTTCAGGGTGGAGCGGGGTTAAGCTGGGCAACAGGGTGAGAGTGTGGTCCGCCCTCCGCCTGGGGCACTTAAACTCCCAGCTGTTGGCACTGGGGAACATCAGGGTTAGGGAGGGAAGGGGCATAATAAGGTGAAGCCTTGCATCTTCCAGACATAACCTAGGAATTCTCAGCTGCTGGAGGGGAACATTTCTATGAACTCTGCAGAGCCTGCTTTGCCTGAGCCTGGTGTGGAGAGCTGGGCAGCCTTGGGCTGCGTGGACGTGGGTGCTAGCACCCAGGACAGGAAGCAGGCAGGGCCCTGAACCCCTGACCCGAATCTCTGTAAACATCATTTTCTCCGAAGGCACCCAGGACATTCTCCTTGCCCAGTATAAGCTGGGTCTGCAGGTTCTAACAGGCATCCAGCCGGGCCTCCCAAGGCTCCGGATGGAACAGATAACCTTCTTGGAAAGGGAACAGTGCTCTCAGGAAGCTACTGAGGTGTAACCGCAGGGGCCTTTGCCTGGCCTGCCTGTGGGGTCAGTTTAATTCTGTGAAGACCCTTGCCCCTAAAGCTAAAGGTGGGAAACCAGGAGGGGACATTTCCAAAAAGCAAAGGGACACACTTCCTTTATAAAATCTTCCTGCCTTCAGTTCTGGCTGAACTGAATGAACCAGGCTGGGCCCTGACCTTCATCCAATGAGAACCCCTGACTCAGCCCACCCTCCCCTTCATTTTACCGTGCTTCTCCTCCCCGGACTCCAGCTTCTGAGCCCCTCCAGGCACAGCCCTTTATACCCAAAGCACCAAGTCCTGAGGGCCAAGCAGGTTCGCTCAGAGAAAGGAGGGCAGGAAAGATTGCTCTGATGCTGCTGCTTTTTAAGAACAACTGCCCAGTCCTGTGTCACCACCTGAGCCCTTACACTCCCTGATGCACTCGATCACACCGGGCCCTGAGCCTACCAGAGTATTATGCTGATACCTCATCTGAGGATGAGAGCTGCAACAACATGGAAACCGCAGCTTAGCAAGCTTTGGGGAAAGTAGCAGAAGATGCAGGTTATTAAGGCCATGATTTGATTTTGGTGCAGGTGCAATTAAAATTTCTGGCCAAGGCAGGACTGCTCAGAGGTAGCAGATGTTTTTCCTGGTGGCCTCCAGGATCACCGAGTGGCCTATGTCTCTCAGGGAAGCAGTGAGGACAAACTTCCCCGTTCTTTGTGGGGTTTCACAACCTGGGCCTCCAAGTGCTCTGCCTGGCTAAGTGGCAATCACCTGGCTTCCTTTGCCTCTGAAATCCATGATTCTATTTTAACAGAAGCCCTCAAACAGAACGCTGAGGGGAAATGTTCAGAAAAGAGGTTTGAAGTCTTCTGTAGCTTGGTTCCAAAGCCAGGCTGTTCTGTTCCTTTTCACTACTGTTTCAGTAAAAGGCTAGCAGTAAACTTGGGGGTCACATACAAGTTTGGGCTCCCCACAGTTCTGGATGTCTTCATCCAATTGCTAATTCAGAGGAGGTTAATCTGGGGACTATTAACTCCCATCCGGTCCATAGCAAGTTTCAGGGGGTCTGTGGGGCCCTGTGTACTTTCGCCTGTAAGCATCTTTGCCGCAAGCACTTTCGCTGCGTAACTAATTGACCCATAAGGCAATTTTGCTGTAGAAAATAAAATAAAAGTAAAAGAGGGATATCAAGAGGGACATAATGAACAGAAACAGAGTCACAGATGTAGAAAACAAACTTATGGTTACTGGGGGTAAAGGAGAGGGGAGGGAAAAATTGGGAGATTGCGATTAACGTAATACACACTACTATATATAAAATAGATGACTAATAAGGACCTGCTGTATAGCAAAGGGAACTCTATTCAATACTCTGTAATGAACTATACGGGAAAAGAATCTAAAAAAGAGTGCATATGTGTATGTATAACTGATTCACTTTGCTGTACACCGGAAACTAACACATTGTAAATCAACTAAACTCCAATAAAAAATTTTTTAAAAAAGGACACAGTGAAACATAAATAATTAACAATTTAAAAGACTTTATTGCAAAATACAAAATATTTGAATACATTTAAAACGTGTGTAGATTCATGGCACTACTGTGCAAATAACTGATTTTATTTTGTGGGTTGTACCTAAGTATTTGTCTTCCAAGTCTTTCATTCATAGTATTTTATACCTTTTTCTTTCTTTCTTTCTTTTTCTTTTTGGTTTGTTGATTCATCTCCTCATTCGGCAGTGCACTTTTTCGTTCTCGCTAACATTTCTTCCTTCGTTGAGAGAGGTATCAGTTTCCAAATACAGGGATGCATGTTTGTACCTGAGCTTTGTGTTGCACTGTGAAAGCCTCTACCCTGTGGTGTATTCTTGGCATCTTGTCACATCTCTAGTGACAGATGTTTCAAAGTTCTGTGGGAAATGTTGGCTCAACTCTGCACCGTCGAGGCCTTCTGCCTCTTTCTCCTCCAATGTAGTGTGTTTCAAAATGAGAAACCAACTCTTGGGGCAAATGATCGTCATCGGTCAGCTGGATAAAGACATCAATAACATCACTGCACTGACTGCAAGAAATGCTAATGCACTTCAACCAGTGGAAACCAAACTGTCAAACCAAAACTTTCAACTAGTTATTTGATCTTCCACAGAAAAATTGTCTTAATGCCAATTAATTATGCAGCAGCGAAGATGTTTATGGCAAAGAAGCTTACAGTAAACAAAACAAACAAAAAAACACCTAACATGGTTCTGTGGACCTCCTTAAGTTAACTGTACATGAAATTTTGTGTCCAAGCTTACGGGCATTTTAAAAATTAATTTTTATTGGCGTATGGTTGCTTTACAATGTTGTGTTAGTGGGCATTTTTAGTGAGGAAAGGTCCACAGTACTGATCAAATACTCTAAGGGGTCTGGACTCCCCCCTCTACCCCAAAGATTGGGAAGGAGACTCAAAGATTCTCTAAGTTCGTGGGAAGTGATGGGAAATGTGGAGATATGCTTCTTAGCAGGCACTGATCTTCCGCTTCTCCTTGTGGACTTTCATTTTCTCATCTATAAAACGAGGTGTCGGGTTGCAGGTATGTGAAAGAGCCCTCAATCCATCTCTTCCAAAGTGGGATGTCAACAAATAATGCAAATCATGAAGGCACAACATGGGCATGTTTTATAGAGATGAGATAATGCCAAGAGAATCATTTTAAAAGAATTCACAGTGGTTGCCATAGGGAGCAGGAAAGTGACTAGGGAATGTCGGGGGACCAATATTTTTATTAAAAGCCTTATAGAACCATCTGACTCTTTAAACCATGTACAAGTGTAATCTGAAAAATTGCCAATTGAATTTGAAAATTAAAAAGACCGAGGCAAAGAAATGAAACAGAACAACAACAAAAAATAGGACATTAAACCAGCTTACAAAGAAAAAACAAACAAAATCCTCTTTTCGCTTTTCAAAACCACCATTGGCTTGAGTAGGAAATGCCCAGTTGTGATAAGTGACTACCAGATGGTTGGTCAGGTAAGTTTTACTGCAAATCATTCCCAAGAGAGAAAGGAGATGTGAGTCTTCCTCTTGCATCAGTACCCTGGTGGGCCGAGAATCTCAGAGGCACTGGGAGAAGCTGGGAGAGAGGGACATAGGAGTTGAACAGTCCCCTTGTTGTGATGTGTCCCGAGACACCCTGAGTCTCAGTTTGGGGTCTCAGGCTCCTCCTGGAGATGAAGAGGGAGGTGTGCCAGCAGGGTAATGAGAGCACAGCTCTGCAACGACTTTTTAAAAACTGAAGTATAGTTAATGTACAATATTGTCGGTTTCAGGTATACAGCAAAGTGATTCAGTTATACATATATCTATATATCCTTTTTCAGATTCTTTTCCCTTATAGGTTATTACAAGATAGTTCCGTGCATATAGTTCCCTGTGCTATACAGTAGGTCCTTGTTGGTTATTTATGCAACGACTTTTAAAAAAAAATTTATTTTATATTGGAGCATAGTTGATTAAACAATGTTGTGTTAGTTTCAGGTGTACTATGCAATGACTTTTTAAAACTATGTTTTGCTGTCAGCACAAAGGACTTTTATGAGTGAAGGGTGTGGAGTGGGAAGTGATAGGTGACTTTCATTATATTCCTGGCAGGACCTCTCCTCCACATTGCCACTGCCCCTGGAATTCTAACTCAGATGAGGGTGGCAGCTTCCTCAAAGAAAAACTTTCCTTTGGGGATTAGTTTTCTCCTCTTTATGTACTGAGGTGAACTCTTCTCCAGGCTGTGTTGTTAAGTGGGAAAAAGCAAGATGCAATGCAAAAAGGCGGGGGGGACAGAATACAGAGACCTGTATGTGCAGTCACACTGTGCAAGTGTTCCCATCAGCTGGTGAAACTAAGTCTAATGAAGCAGGGAGTTCGGGTGGCAGGAATCACTTTCACTGTGTACCTCTTGGTGGCTTTTGAGTTTTGAGCCTTGTGACTTTATTACCCATTCAGGTGATGAAATTTGGCTTCTCTAAGATATATGGGAGGCTTTGATCAAGAAGCGCCCTCCCTGACCCCTGGGCCCCTGCAAAAAATCACTGCCTTGTGCTTTGTCTCCCCTGGGAGCACAGCTGCTCTGAGAAGCAGTTGTTCTGACACGGACTCTGAAAAAGGTTTTTTTTTTTCTAATTAAAAAGAATTTTTTTCTTACAGTTTGAGATATACTTGACACACAGCACTGTATAAATTTAATATGTACGGTATAATGATGTGACTTACATATATCATGAAATGATTATCACAATAAGTTTAGTGAACACCCATCATCTCATATAGGCACAAAATTAAATAGAAAAAAAAATTTTCCTTCTGATGAGAACTCTTAGGACTCTCTTTTTTTTTTTTTTTTTTTGTGGTACGCGGGCCTCTCACTGTTGTGGCCTCTCCCGTTGCGGAGCACAGGCTCCGGACGCCCAGGCTCAGCGGCCATGGCTCACGGGCCCAGCCGCTCCACGGCATGGGGGATCTTCCCGGACCGGGGCACGGACCCGTGTCCCCTGCATCAGCAGGCGGACTCTCAACCACTGCGCCACCAGGGAAGCCCCTCTTAGGACTCTCTTAACATTTTCATGTGTAACGTCCAGCCGTGTTAATTATATTTAGCATGTTGTACATCACATCCCTAGTGCTTACTTATGACTGGAAGTTAGTACCTTTTGGTCATCTTCATCCAACTCCCCCTGCCCTCACCCACTGCCTCTGGTAGCCACAAATAAGATCTCTTTTTCTATGAGTAAGTTTGTTTGTTTTTGAAGTATATTGACCTACAACACTATGTTAGCTCCTATTATACAACATAGTGATTTTTTTCTATACAATTAAAATGTCACCATCCAAGGATATTAGTTATTGACTATATTCCCCACACTGTACATTTCATTATCAGTGACTCATTTCTTTTGCGACTGGAAGCCTGTACCTCTTACTCTCCATCACCTATTTCTATCCTCCCTCCATGCACCTCTCCTCTGGAAACCACCTATTCTCTGTATCTCTGTTTCTTTTGTTATGTTTGCTCATTTGGTTGGATTTTTAGATTCCACATATACGTGAAATCATACAGTATTTGTCTTTCTCTACTTATTTCACTTAGCATAATACTCTCTAGGTCCAGCCAGGTTGTCACAAATGGCAAGATTTAATTCTTTTTTATGGTGGGGTAATATTCCATATATATATATCTATGGAATGTATATATATATATATATCTCAGTTCTTTATCCATTCACCTATTAATGGTCACTTGGGTTGCTTCCATATCTTGACTATTGTAAATAATGCTGCAATCAACATAGGGGTGCATATATCTTTCCTAATTAGTGTTTTGTTTTCTTTGGATAAATATCCAGGAGTGGAATTGCTGGACCATATGGCAGTTCTGTTCTTAATTTTTTTGAGCAACCTATAGATCAATACTGTTTTCCATAGTGGCTGCACCAATTTACATTCCCACCAGCAGTGCATAAGGATTCCCTTTTCTCCATGTTGAAAAAGTCTGAAGTTCTGGGCATCCACCTCCTTTTAATTTCACCCATTTAAAAATAAAATCTGCCATGTTTTCTCTCACTTGTTCAAGCTCAGTTGTACTTACTCGCTTTTTTTCTTTTTCTTCTTTGCAGGATCCAAGTGGACCTATATAGGTAAGTAGAGATCTTAAATACTTTTTTGAGGAGATGACTATTTAATGAGAAAGTCAGAAACTTCTTGATCTGTAGAGGTTGTTTGGGGGGGGTTGGGGAGAGCAGTTCTGGTATTGTTAAAAGAGGGCACAATGTCCTCTCTAAAGACTTGCTCCACACGGGTCTCAGACAGCTCTTTCTCCAAGGAGCTGAGCCTGCTTTGTGCATTTGAACTGCGAGTCACAGTGTAAGGCTTTCAGATTCCTGCAAACCACCCAGGTGAGGATGCCCAGGTTACCTTCAGACTGCAAGGGCCCTAGGCAGGAGAGTGCCCTTCTCCTCTGGAGGACATTTATTCTACAGTAAACAAAGAATAAAGGGCTCCTTTCTGAAAGTTAGGCTCAGGCCCGAGAACTTAAGCTGCCAGTGTGTCTAGAATTAACTTCTCGTTGCCGTGTTTGTAAGCAAGCAGTGGACCAAGCAGTGATGGTCAGTCCTTAGTGAAAGAGGAATGCTTGTCTTAAATGGAGAGACAGGGACATCAAGTGTGCAAAGAGGTTTCGAGATAAGCAGCTTGAAATCGGCTTAGCTCATGTATTGCAATGAATGGGAAATTTGGTCATCAGCTGGAGCGGGGATGGGGGTCAAGCTCTAGGGTCCACTGGCAAGCGCAGGAATGTTAATAATGACTTGTTTGGGACTGAGTAACGAGGGATGTGCAAGAGACATTGTTATGGGGAGCAGGAGGGTGGAACTGGCCTCACTGGCACAGGAGGGGTGGTGACAGGCAGGGAAGTTGATTACTACAGAGGAAGCAGAATCCAGAGAAAGATCTGATTTGGATTTGCTAGTTAGCCTTTGGATGTTTGTTAGCCCGAGAGGCAGAGAAAAGTCCCTGAGCTAATCAACCAGCTACCTCCAGGCCAAGGTCTCTTTGGCTCTAGCATTGCATGGCTCCACTGCTACTAACATCCCTTACGTACTTATTATGGGCAAGGCACGTTGCTAAGTGGGTGGGTAATTAGAAGCATAGGCTGTGGTCTGTAGATGGGAATTACTTAAAGCTCACAATTCCAAGCAGAATATAATAGGTAATAATAGCAGATAACAAGTAAACGATTCAGCACTCTGATGGTTCAGAGGAGGACGAGAGTGCTAGGGCTAGATGGTCAAGGAAGGCTTCCTGGAGGAAGAGGGTTTTCAACCGGACCTTGGAGGATGGGGAGGATTCAGTACGATGGGAAGGAAGTGCTATTGGCCAAGTTGATGATGGTATCACATGAATGGAGGCAAGAACGAGCAAGACGGCATTTGAGGGAAAACATGTAGAGAAGTCGTTACAGGGGAGGGATGGACTCTAAGGTCAGAAAGATAGGTTGGGTCACGTATTAAAAGACTGCAGCAGGTCTGTAAGTAAGGATGCTGGCCCATCTCCCATCTCCAAGCTAGGTGGTCAAATGAAAAAAGCCAGGTATAGTGTGTATACGTGGCACCATGTGTGTACACTGTAACTTTGTGTTTGCACGGAATTTTTCTAGAAGGATTCAGGAGAAACCGAAACAGTAATGGCCCCTGGAAAGGAGTACTGAGGGACTAGGGGTCAGCTCTGGGAGGGAAGAGTTACTTTTCACTGTCCGTAAAGTTTGAATGTTTATCCTGTGATTGCCTTACCAAAACATGCAAAATAAAACAAAATACTAAAAAAAATGTTTTTCAACAACATTTAGCTAATACTTTAAATTATCCCAAAATACAGAGAGAAAAACATGAGACACAGCAGGCCTTTTTTTCCCCCCAAAACACTAACATTGTGCAACAGGAAGGCACTGTTGCTGTTCTAAAGGCCTATGTTAGACTTTCTACTAATGGTACCAACCACAGGGTTACTGTGAGGATCGAATGGTGAGATCCATGTGAAATGGGCTGGCACAGTATTGATACTTGTTCTACAGCAAGCACCCAATAAAAGTAGACTATGACTATTATTATCAAGATACATTGTTTTCTTGGAATAGATTTTTACTTCTCTCAAAAATAATAATAGTTTTGTGTCTACACGTTTTCTTAATATGAGAAGGCAATTCGACGCCTGTGTATCTCATCGTTATTTTTTGGAGTTGAATGTTATTTCCCTCACTACCACAAATAAAAGCTTCATGTATGTCCATCTTTTGGTAACATGTTGTTAAAGCTCTAACGATTGCATTGTGTCAACAGTATTCTATTCTATTGAGAGTGTTGTATGGACTTCTCTAAGGTGAATATATTTCATTAATAAATATTGTTCTAAATTAAAAAAAGAATCAGGGGCAGCATGGAGGGGGAGGCCAGGCTCTTCCCACTTTGTCCAATGGATGGAGGGGCGGGGCAGGGGGTAATTTGCATTTTAAGGAGAGTAGGGGGTGGTAGGTGGTGGAAGAGGAAGGATGGGAGGGAGGCCGGAAGGTGTTTGGCCTTTGAAGAAACCCCATTCTGTATCTTAACATCCAGTTTACAGTGGCGGCAGTAAGAGGGAAGGGTAGGGCAAGAGACCTGACAAAGGAGGAATTCGTGCAGTCTGGGGATCAGGGCCCCTTGGGCAGGTTCAGTGTGTGGGAGGAGACAGGAGCAGTGTAGGCACGGAACGAAGGTGGGACTCAAGTTCTGGACCTTATTCCATATGGTCTGGAGGAAGCACGTGAGCCCTCGGGGTCTTGCTTTCTCCCCATCTGTGACCTGGGGAAGGGGTTATCCAGATCAGTGTTCCTCAAGCTATGGCTTGGGCTCACCTGCATCAGAATCACCTGGAATGCCTTCCAGATATACAGATTTCTGAGCCGCAGCCTGGATGTGGGGGAGGGAGGGAACCTAAAAAACCTGTCTATTTCAGGTGATTCTTAGGCACTCTGTTAGAGAACCTCTGACCAGATGGTTCCCAAGACCTTTCTAGCCTGAGTCAGAGGTAACTTGCCCCACACCTCTTCTACTGGCTTCCCAGGTGGAGTGGAGACACAAGTCACGTCTCCCCAGGGCTCCCTTCGTCTGCGGGACAGCGCCCCTAGGCAGGGCGAGGAAGTTACGGAGAACAGAGAGACACGGTGTCAAGAAGGTGTAGGAGGAAAATCTTACTGCCACTTAGGCATGACATGGTGCTCCCCAAGGGAGGGCCTTTCTGTCCAGCCGTACCGACCAATCCAGAAGCACTTCTTCCTGACCATTAGCGCTGGCCAGCCCTCTGTCCCTCCTGCGTACAGTTAGAGCAGCTCTTTGCTGAGGAAGCAAAGGGCAGAGTCTAAAGATGCATGGCATGCATGCGGGCGAGCACAGAGGCAAACCTGGTTTTTTATTAGTGAAATGAGCACACGTGATGTGGAGTCAGGTCAGTGGGGGCCAGTGAAGGAGGCAAACAGGTCCAGGCTGGCAGCTGGCACTTGTGCTTGGAGTCACACAAGTAAACAGAGAGCCTGGCATAGGTGCCGGGGGTAGCGGGGGAGGGAAGGATGGTTTCCAAACAATACAGGCTGCATCAAATGGGGCAAGTCCAACCCAAGGCCACATGCTGGTTTTCCCAGGGCGCAGACCTCAGCTACTTTTCACATAGATGCCGCTGAGTCATCCTACTCTGCGGGCCTCTCGCTTCCAGGAACACATGATAGGACTTCTAGAAGCACACGGAAAGAGAACTCGAGCCCCATCCCCTCTCCACACTGACTCACCAGGCTAACCTCCCGGATGGCCCCCTGCAGACAGGAGGACCGTCTGGCAGCCAGGATGGAGCCAGCCCTGCCCCTGAGTGCTCCTCCCGGGTGGCTGGAGCAGCAGCTGGGTACGCGTTGGGATGTGCTGGGTCAGAGCCCTACCCCCTGCAATCAGCCCCAATTCAATCCTGCTGAGCCACCAACTCTGAAATGGAGGGCAACTGCAAGTCAGGCTGACACGTGAGAGAAGGCTGAACTCCAGTCTGCTCAAGTGCATCTCTGCTGTTAGAAGGCAGGGTAGCGGTTGCCCTTGGGGTGCGGAGGTGACTGGAAGGAGGGCATATTGGTCACGTTTCGTCCCTTGACACGGGTGCGGTGTTCAGTTTGTGAAAATCCATCAAGCTGTTCACTTACGATACGTGCACTTTTCTGTATGTATATTATAGTCAATAAAAGAGTGAAAAAATTCCAGCTGGCTGGGAGAGTCATCCTTACCCCAAGAGATTTTTCAGCCCTCCCACAAGAAACAACCAAAAAACCCTCAGCGTGTTCAAAATAACAGAGCAACCAAAAGGAGTGACTGTATTGAAGCTAACGACCCAGGAACGCATCACGTGAGCAGAGAACGGACATGGGGCTCCATCCCAGAGGATGCCAGACACTGCTCTGGTGCTCCTCCAGTGTGAGCTAGTTCAGAAACAGACAAATACCACTGTTCATCATTTGGGAGAAATAAGACAAACCGTCATGGGAGATGAGATGTAAGGGGAAGAGGAAGCCAACCCCCCTCCTGGCAGGTGAATGAGTCCCACTTCTCCCCAAGTCAGGGTCTCGCAAGGCATCCACCCCTCCATCCCAGATCGGGGACGCTGGAAAGATGGCAGCTTAGCCTGCTGGTGCCGGGCACCGGGCTCGTAGGCCCTCCTGCCCAGCTTCTTGGTCCCGGGCTCTGTCAGGACTCCCTGTGACCAGGCACTGCCACCTCATTCCTTAACTGCTCTCCTTTCTCCCAGACAACAGACGCTCTGTTTTAAAGAATTTCCTTTGGGAATTAGGAAGGGATCCTCCATTGGAGTGAACCTCATTGGTTCTCCAGGCTCCCACCTCCACCCCCTTCTGTCCAGCATCTGCTGGAATATTAAGTTACTATAAACAAACTATCTCTGGGGTTCGGGACATCCTTCCCAAGCTAGAACAAGACATGGAACACATGCAAGGAAGCTAGGAAGCTTTACTTTTGTAGTAGGCAAAGGCACCGTGTGACCTTCACACTCAAAGGCAGTATAAAAAACAGATTAAATTAGAGCTAAAGGGAGAACTTAGAACAGCAGTTAGGGAGCATGT